ATATATATATACCTAGTTAAGCAGCCCTTTTGATAGTTTTTTTTATACGTTTCAGAAACAAAAAAAACACCACTCCAAAAATAAAGGAGAAAAAAAGACAATTCACAAAAAAAAGCATTTTCAACATCGACGATTTTTTCAAACACATGATCGTTTATCTGTGAAGCACAAATTAGATCTGTTGTAAACAAAAAATCTTTTATCCGCCTTTATAACACCGTGCGTTCCTTTATGTGCCACATTTGAAAAAAAAACACATAAAGCAAGGCAAACCACAATGCCAACAACTCACATTGTTCATGGGCTGTTTCGGAAGTGCACGCCATCAAACAAAAATCCTCCAAGCACCTTTGCAAAAGAGAAAAAAAAAAGCGCGGGCCACCCATTGGCGTGGTGGCGGGGGCGGCAGGCGCCGCAGCAGGGGGCGCGCACCGGTACGCCGCCACCCCGGGGCTGCAGCCGAGGAAGCCGCCCGCCCGCAAACCCGCGACGCTGTCTGCGCAAATTGGACGGTCGCGTGGGCCAGATTGAGGGGCGCGCCCCCCCAAAAAAACAGAAGTTGGAGGGGGTGTCGCAGCCCATTATCTTCAGGTTGATGCTCTGGGGAGGAGCCCACGCTTTGTCTTTTAAAGAGGTAACAAATTGAGAGGGGAAAAAGAGAGGTTGGGGCTCGTTTTTTTTCTTTTGTGCTGTTTATCCTAGTACAAGTTATATATGTATATATATAATGAGAAAACAAACTGTGATGTTTAAATCTTGATATTTTATTTCTACCAGGTTAACGTCTTGTTCTCCAAAGTGTTATGGTGCTGGTTCACAAAAAATAAAAGAAACAAAGAAAGGGGAACGTACGCGCGCACACACTAAAATAATACTGGTAATAACCTCAATTCAAAAATGCAAATACCAGAATGAGCACACTATGTTTGATATACATTTAAATGTTGTAGCAGTTGGTATCGATTTTTTTTGTTTTTTACTTTTTGGTAAACACATATTTATTGCTAATTAAGATGATTTTGCTATTGCCGATCGGGTGTAAAGATACACTATGATTTATTTCATATTCATTTTTGTTTTTGTTTTTAAGTACGAAATAGGAGAAGGATTCCTTAAAAAAAGATGTTAGCTCTACGTAGTCGGAATGAATTTGAACGGGTAGGAGAAGATTGCATCTCCTGCACAATATGCCCTGCAATGAAAACGATTATTATTCCGATATCCTGCTTAGCCTTCGAGTTGCGGGAATTACTGTCAATTTTTCTTGATTTGGATGTTGAGTCTATTGAACTATACAGAAAGGGGAGTAATAGTTTCATTTCTGTCCCAGATGTTTCATTGGGAGTTGGACACTATTATGTGCTGTTACGAATACGCGGCGGCAAGGGTGGTTTCCGCAAGCAGCTTGAAAAAAAAGGAAGAGCCTTTGCACGAGCCAGGAGATTAAGAGAAATTAATCCAGGAGGTGTTTGCCCAAGACCGGAAAGGGGGGACAAATTGGTTTTAGGCAAGAACGCAGAAAGCAACGAAAGTGAGATCAACGAGAAGAGCCCAGCAGGGGAAAAGGAAATACAGCCAAACAATATCAGAACCGACAAAATTCGGGAAGCTGTTCGCATAGGTGTAAAAAGAACTATTGAGGGCTTGCTTTGCAGCGAGACATGAGTACTTATATATATATATATATATATGCAATTGGAAGTTCGCTTTTGATGCCTCTGACTCAGAAGGCACTCATGCTTTTTAATGAGATACGTGCGAAACGCGGTACCGACTCATTCTTTTTTTTTTTTAGGAGGTTTTCCAGTGAAATGATAAATTAGGTTGAACGTATATGTGCGGAACTTATGTCTCGAAGCGTGCCATGGCGGACCAATTGTCCACAACTGGTGAAAAACATTTTTGATCAGTTGCCCTCTTGTGAATTATTATTAGTCAGGCGTATCGGGCCCACAAGTTTCCTTCTGAGTCGACGTGATGGACGAGAAAAGTTTAGAACGTCTATAGGGGATCCTCACGAATGCTCTTGCGGTGTCGGTCAAGAGTTATGCATTCACGTTTTGTTTATACTATGTAAGGTTTTTTTTTACCGAAAGAGAACCCTTTGGTTTGGCAACAGTCACTTGTGGCGGCAGAAATTGACGAGTTGCTAAGGGCGGAGAAAAGAGTGCGAAATGTACAGAATCAAACCGAAGTAACAGGAACCGTTGCTCCTAAGCCGGTTGAGCAAGGCGATGTATGCCCAATCTGCTTTGAAGATCTCTGTAACGATAGTCCTCTATGTTACTGCAAAGCAAGCTGTGGAAAACACCTTCATTCATATTGTTTTAGGCAATATGTGCGTCATAATTCTGGTGTTTTATTGCGATGCCCGTACTGTCGACGTCCCTGGATAAACGATCCAGATGCTAAGAGCAAGAACTGCTCTGGGTGCAAAAAGTATACAACAGGGGAGTACTATAGTTGTTTATTTTGTCAAACCTATGTATTATGCGCAGACTGTTACCACTGTACTGACACTCATGCAAATCATCCATTTTCCCTTTTGGGAGCTAGAGCTATTGCGGAGAGGCATGATGGTCGGAGGCCTGCACGTGTAGAAACTATTCATGAACCCCCAACCCAGATTCCTCAGGAGCTTGTTCCGTTAATGTATAGAGAGATTAATCCTAATGATTATGAAACGCTTCTTCAACTTGATGATAGAAGTAATCGCCGCGTTTTAACGACCGAACAGTTTGTGTCACTTAGACGTGGAAATTGGAATGATGCATTTGAATATGATACGTGTCATATATGCTTAGAATCTTTTGATAGCAATAGTACGTGTGTTTGGCTATTATGTGGACATTTTTTCCATGTTTCATGTGCTCAAAGTTGGCTAACAGAACATTCGGCAGTTTGCCCCCTGGATCATATTCCGGTCATAGTTTCTGCTAGTGGAAATCATGTGGTTGAACAGAGTTTACCAAACTTGCCCGCTGTGAGGTCTCTTAACCGTCGAGTAGAAAGGGATAGGCGTGAGACTGCTGTATCTTCAGCGGTTTTGCGACGAAGTGTACGCACAGTACCACGACGTATCGAGAGATCGATACCTCCTTCTACCACATCTCTGCCCCTACTTGAGCTACAGATTTTGCCATTGGGACATTTACGGCCTCGTGAACAAAATTGGATTCGATTTCGTTACGGAAGTAGTTAGAAACACTTTGTCTCAGGGGAAGATAAAATACATGCTGATATATATATATATATATATATATATATATATATT